TTGATCTGTTGCACTGCAGTTTTCCAGATGTTCATCATTTTCAGCATTGCATTTTGTGATGATATATACATATTCTGATGTAAATTATATTAATTAAAAAAAAACATTCTGAAGGTTTATTAATATGTTAATATGTTATGTATTGTGACACACAACGATTGAATGGCAGAAATATGAACATGATTGTACAGAAGAATGAGAATGTCAGCTTACCAGACAAAACAAGAGATGTTTGGCAAATAACTATAAACAGGATAATCAAAACTCTCATTGTGAACTAAAAGAAGAGAAGAAAGAGTTCTAAAATTAAAAACAGCTTGATATCAAAGGTATCACAGGATGATATTTTGATGAAAATATTGTACACCCATTAAATTGTATTTTTGTATTTGTTACTGAATATGTTCATACACCAATTTAAGTTATTACTGTACATTACATGACTCTTGCTTGTTTCATGTTGAGATAGTGTGATCTGCATGCTTATGTTTACTCCTATGCATTTTGCAGATGCTATCCAAACTTGGTTTACATCACATTTCATTATACACTAAATTTTATCAGCTTGTACATTCGTACATTTAATACAAATATTAAATTAAATAAAAACATCTGTATGAAGGAATCTTTTTTTCAGCCACTAGACAGTGCTATTGAGAAGTAAGAGGCAATACTTTGCAAAGAACACTCCTTGAATGAGGCAGATAAAGGCTGGGCAATCAGATGTAATTCAGAACAGGTGAAGGAAATCAGAGAGCCAAAAATGCATACTAAGGAGAAAGTGTGCAAATCACTAGAATTAGGGAGAGGGCGCTCGTTGGTGAGGAATGGTGGAATCAGGGAGACTGGACGCCGTAACATCAGAGGTTGTCTAATTGAAGAGAATGGGCTTTATGCACAGTTGCACTACTTCCTGAACTTAAGCCAGCTCCTTGTTTCCTGTCTGTCATTATTGGCCAAATTGATTAATTCAGTTGTGCTTGACCTCAGTAGTCACGACAACAATAATTAGACACACCTGAATTAATCAATTTGGCCAATAATGGCAGACAGGAAACAATGAGCTGGCTTATAAGTTCAGGAAGTAGTGCAGCTGTGCATAAAGCCCATTGGCACTGGCTGTTTACTTCCGGTTTCTGGACTGGCTGCAGTAACACGTCTCTGTCCATGCGAGGGCGCTAGCGGTCGAGTGCAGAATGAATGGGAGTCAATGGGGTTTCACCCCCAGAAATCCACTTTTCTCAGGATGTAATTTTTTGTCAAGTAATTTGAAAGTTGCATTCAAAAGGGAGGGCTAAGAAAATACACTCAGCTGAAAATTGCACAAGTTCACTTATCTGTTCAAAAAATCCTTTAAAAAATGTGATGACGTCACACAATAGCAGAATGCTAGCGTTTTCCAGCCAACAACAGCCTAACCTGTAAGAAATCAAAAGGACATAAGTACTCGTTCATTCGACTTTTGGCCTATAATCTATATTGAACTTGCAGAATCAACAATAAAATCTATTTTAATTTAACGACAAGCAGGTGAAAGAGACACATTTAGCCGTTTAGCCCCATAGACTCCTATTCATTCTGCACTCACCTGCGATCACCTCCAGTGGAATTCTAATGGAACTGAAACCAAGATGATACACAACGGGGCTAATAGGAAGTGCCAATAAGGCTGTCCGTTAGACGGGCTCTGGTGACATGTACAAGTTATGGGCTCTATGCACGGCGTTATTTCCGGTGAAGGTGTAAGGATGCTCGATAACTTCCGCTGATCGTAGAGTTCAATGCAATACCGAGAATTTATATTGAATTTTATACTCCATGGTTATACTAAAGAAACGTTAGTCACAAAAACAGATAAAACAGACAACCCTCGTTGTGTTTATGCTTTTTTATTATTATTATATTAAATAAACATAACTATATACTGTATAAAATTACATCTAAACGTATGTACGTTTCGTTTCAAAGACAGGAGGACAGTAAATTTTTAAGACTCTGCCATAATCCCGTTTTCCTCGGTTTTCCTCCGCTTTAATTTCCACAACCGGAAATGGACGAGCATCCTTGCGTCAAATGCGGAATTTATGCGTGCATATAGCCCATTGGGTGTATTCCATGTTATGTTGTTGTGTCTAACCCACAGAAAAGGTTACTCTCCAGGTTTGTTAGCACAAATGCCTGGGTTTGATTCACTGATTCATATTGTTTTGAATTCTTGCCATCACAAATATTAGCATCTATAGCAGAATTGTACATTCAGGAAGAAGCTACATTTCAGCTTCATCACAATATCAGTTTAATAAGAAAAAAATACTGTTCTGTTAAATTTAGCATCAATGAATCTTTAAACAATGCTACAGTAGTAGTTTGTTTTTTATCTGATCACATGCTTTGCATCAAGTGAGACTTGTGGTTTTGTTGTTTTGTGCATGTGCTTGCCAGATATAGCTATTCATTTGCATTGTGGTATATGACTGAAGGTGCAGGATTACCAGATCAGAGAAACAATGCATTTTGGATCATTGTTACTTGTTTGTTTGTTTTTTGGTAAGAATTGCATTTCTATCTTCATGAATATGCTTAAAATTGTAGCCTATAACATTATTTTAAGAAATCAAGAAATTATCATTTTTAAGCATCATTAAAATGCCTTTTTTAATTGTTTAGTTCTGTTTTTATATGTAGTTTTTCTTGACTTTAAGGTCTCGGATTTTCTGCAGTACAAGTAAAACAGTACTTTCAAAAGAAATATCAAGTAGGTGATTCAGCACTTCTCTACTGTAACCTTACCAGTGACAAAGAAACGGTTAGAAGATGTACAATGATGTGGCAGATTTACGATGAAAATGCAAAGATCCTTGTACACATCACAAAAATACCAAAATATCAACAAAGAGTCAACATTAAATCCCAAGACACTTTCACCTCGATGACAATAAAAGACCTGATGGTTACAGACATAGAAAAGATATTGTGTTCAGCTGTGTGTTTTGTTAATGAGGAGATCCAATACATCGCCGACAATGGGACAGTTCTAACAGTTACAGGTGTGTTTGGAAAAATTGACGTAATAGATATTAAAGATATTAATTTATGGCCTTCAAATTATTGATGTTTTAACATTCAATTTTTTTTTTTTTTTCAGAACCAAAACCAGAACTAAAACCTGAACTTCAATGGTTGAAATACCTTATTTTCTCCATTAATCTTTTGATTTTCACTATTGCACTGGGAATACTTATTTTCATTACACGACAAAGGAGAGGCGAAAGGAGAAGGTGTAAATGACTGGAAAACCATGTTTGGTGCAAATACATTAATTTTGAACGATAACATCAAGTAATCACCCTTTTTTTATGGAACTTCATTAGGCTTACTATGTTAACCCTCATGTTAACCCTTCTGTTGAGGTTAATGTTTCTAATGTTTAGAGTCCCAGAGAGTCCAATGATGGACAGTACTCTACATGTTAAGAAGTTTACATACACTTGATTCTTAATTATGTGTAAAACATATTAATATTCAAGCATATGTAAACTTTCGGGCTGTTTAAAAAAGTTTAAAAAATCAACGAAATTTGAAATAGCTTCATTAGTTTGGTAATAAATAAATAAAACATGCATTTTGCATCATGCAAACAACATTTTTAAGATCCCTCTTTGTAGGCCTATTTAATAAGAATTTCAAATCAATCTAATTTTAGCACATGAACAAACATATTTGTCCAGCAAAAACTATAATACAATGTATTTTCCTTTATTTCAATAGTATATATAGTCTGCTTTGTCTCTGCTTGATCAAACAAAGAAATAATAAGCACTGCCGTCTATTAGTCTGAATGGCACGCAACGTTGCATTCATGAATCCTTTTTTTGTTATTGTAATTTGTAGCTGTGTCGCATGATATATTTGATATACTCTATGCTTGTATTTCTCTGGTGGGAATAAACAGCAGCCATAAAATCCTTATGAGAGTCGCTTGCTTTAAGTTAAAGGAAAGACTTGTGAATTTAATTGTAAAAAAAAAAAAAAAAAAAAAAAAAAAAAAAAAAAAACATTACAGAGAAAGTTTGAAGGAAATGAATAAAAGAAAAAACAAATTGTGACATATAAACTTCAAAAACGACTCTAGAGTATTGTCAAAAAGGAAAGTAAAACGTTTTTCTTTACTTGACTGGTCTGGGAGGAAACAGAAGAGTATCAGATTACATATTTTTATTTTTATTTTATTTTTTATTTTTTTATTTTTTTTAGTGGGCAGGAAAGTATCCCTACTGCGTTCTGGAAGCAGGAAGTATGACATAGGCCTCTTGGCTATCACCTACATCTGTCTGACAATCAGAAACGCCTTTAAATGAACAGCTTAAAAAACTATCTATGGCATATTGGATACATTTAAAGGGCCATGATGACAATAATTATCTGGCTAGGGAAGCTTTCACACCAGTTTGCATGAAAAATCGATAATGTGAACGCGGTCATGGGACCCGGGTGCGCACTGGGTACCAAATCCGAGACTATACCTGGATACTACTGGGTTCGGTTGCTCCCTAACCATGCCACGGTTTGCGTAAATGTGAAAGCAACACAGATTCGGATGTGCACTTGTTCAGGAAGTAAAGTAACCTGCTCATGCGTTTTAGCTTACCGTGATGTATTGAGTTAAATAAAACACTTGTAAGGGATGATAGGGTTGATGATTTACCTTGGATACGAGCGAGAGTGAGCCTGCAGTGTATTTGTGCATTGCGCATGGCAACACAATTGGAAATCCGTTAGCAAGCATCAGAATTCCACCTTATGTGAGACACGCACAGTAAACCTGTATTGTTCACTCAACTGCGCATAATAGCAGTGAATTATTAAAAAAAAAAAAACACACAATATTGACCCGCGTTCTGTTTTCTATCATGTACCGTGCACATTTGCGATGACGTAATATGCACCCAAATGCACCAGGGTTTGATAGAATCAAGTTGAACGCAGACCAACGCTGTGGGGGGCGCCGGGAACAAACACGCTTGGGCTTGAACCGCAGCAAACAAGCCCAGTGTAAAAGCAGAAAGTTGGGACATTAAACATTTACCTGGTACAGGATTTGTATACTGTTCTCTCTAAATGTTTTCTTCCCAAGCGTGAATATAAATCAACAGCAAGCCAATCTCTGTTCAAAAGCTAGGATCTGAGCGTCTCCTTTAAATTCAAATCAAATTCAAATTCAAAATTCAAATTCAATCTAATTTTAGCATTGTGAACAAACATAATTGTCCAGCAAAAACTATAATAAAATGTATTTTCCTTTATTTAAATAGTATTTATATTCCTAAAAAAAAGGGAAAAAAAAGAAATCGAAACTGAAAGCTAAAAAAAACTGTCTGCTTTTTCTCTGCTTGATCAAACAAAGAAGTAATAAGCACTGTTGTCTATTTGTCTGAACGACACGTTGCATTCATGAACCCTTTTTTTTTGTTGTTGTTGCTGTTATTGTAATTTGTAGCTGTGTCGCATGATATATATACTTTATGCTTGTATTTCTCTTGTGGGAATAAACAGCAGCCCATAAAATCCTTATAAGAGTGAGTCGCTTGCTTTAAGTTAAAGGAAAGACTTGTGAATTTAATTGTAAAAAAAAGAAAAAAAAAAAAGAAACATTACAGATAAATTTTGAAGGAAATTAATAAAAAAAAATAATAATAAAAATTGTATTATTCCATTGACAAAGGCACACTGAAGCTTAAAAAACATTTCCATTGAAAAATGATTTATAGTGTAAAATGTAATAAAGATATAATATAGGTTGCAATAAAGTTTGTGACATATAAACTTCAAAACGACTTACCGTGTCTTGATGGTCTAGAGTATTGTCGAAAAGGAAAGTAAAATGTTTTTCCCTACTTAACTGGTCTGGGAGGAAACAGAAGAGTATCAGATTACAGTTTTTTTTTTTTTTTTTTTTTTTTTTTAAAGTGGGCAGGGATGGTTAGGGAAGTTAAAACTCCATACATTTTCTCCATTTTCTCCTGGATTCTTTTTTCTCCTTTCTTTGTTTTGTTCTTTCCAATTTTTGTCCTATGTGGGAATTTTTCACTGTGCAAGAATGATTGGAAATGTTCTAGATTTTTAAAAGATGTGTTTGCACTATTGTAATTTCTTCTTTAAATATGAATAAAAAAACTGAAATACAAAAACTGAAATGTTATGCATGTTTTGCAATGTACTTAAATATATTATTTTTATAAATATAATCAACATTTGTAAAGGAGTAGGAGTTTTATATTTCTCCATCATTTTTTATTTGATTATGTAGTTTGCAATGTTTCATGGAATTGTAGTTCTTTCCCTCATTAAAAGTCTTGTACCTTTTGTCTTTTTGTGTGATTTTCAAAAATGTTTTTGCTTCATCACCACCTGCACTCACTAGGCCCATAGACATACAGTATAGATAGACACCCTATTGGCTGCTGGAGCGTACGTCAACAGCGACACCATATCAAGGAGGGCAACTTTCCCATACCTGTCATTTCGGGAATTGAGAAAAATGCCTGCTTCGTGTGCTGCGTGGGGCTGTACAAGTCGCCACACAACTGAAAACAGGTCTCTGGGATTTACCTTTCACAAACAAGACTGAACATTTTTTTTCTGTTTGTATTTGGTCATTATATAATTAGTAATAGTAACATACACCACGATAGATACCGCTAGACCAAATCTCTCCACAACCTGCCTAACACGGTCAAAAACTGACCGATGACGGGGCTGATTATCACTCCAGTTATTCCAGGGAAACCGGGTTGGTATAGAATTTGTTTTAAGTCTATTCCGACCACTTTCCTAGACGTAGATGCTTTCCTTTTCAAAATGCAAACTGCCTCATCCCTCTTTATTAACCTAACCCAAGACTTGCGGAGTGTTCCGTCCTTCGGGAAAGGGTGTAAGCTGAGGTATATGGCTGTCTACGTCCTGATCGCCAGTAAGGTAAATGTTTCTATGGTAACAGCGAGTTGGACCAATCAGCAGACATTGCTGCTAAACTTAGGATTGTGGGTGGTGTAATTTCTTTTCATAAGATCGCGGATAAAACATGTTTATCTTAAAACAAGGTTGATTTCATATGAACTTGTAGCTTCTACAGGAGCAAAAACCTTTGTTTCACAACCTCATCGCTCATGGTCAATCTACCTCAGATGGTTTAGACATTAGGGCTGATAATCTAAATCCTTATCGAGAAATACTGTTGACCGGAAATTCTGTATCCCTACTCCACGTTCCAGAAGCAGGAAGTGTGACATAGGCCTCTTGGCTATCACCCATATCTGTTTCCCATCAGCATTTCAAACAGCAACACGGGTAATTTTAAAAAACAGTTTAGTTTTATGGGTGGATTACAAACTGACTTGGAAAATGCATAATTTATTGAAAAGAAGAGTAATAAGGTACTTAACCCAATGAAATGTTTAGTGGGACAGGGCTGGGGTGCACTAGTTTAGACTATGGATGCATTGTGTATGGGTCTGCATTACTAAAGAAACTGGATGTTGTTCAATAGAGAGCATTAAGATCCATTCAGGAACTGCTCAAACAACACCAGTAGTAATGCAGATGGAGCTATCAGAAACGCCTTTAAATGTACAGCGTCAAAAACTATCTATGGCATGCTAGATACATTTAAAGAGCCATGATGACAATAATCATCTGGCTAGGGAAGCTTTCACTAGCCTGACTACGTCAGGCTTTGTACTTCGTACAATGGTTTTATACTTCAGACAAGCGCATTTGTGCATATTTGTGCATTGCGCATGGAATCGGCAACACAATTGGAAATCCGTTAGCAAGCATCAGAATTCCACCTTATGTGACACACGCACAGTAAACCTGTATTGTTCACTCAACTGCGCATAATAGCAGTGAATTAATAAAAAAATTAAAAAAACACAATATTGACCCACGTTCTGTTTTCTAGCATGTACCGTGCACATTTGCGATGACGTATATGCACCCAAACGCACCAGGGTTTGAAAGAATCAAGTTGAACCAGACTAAAGCTGTGGGGGGGCGGCGGGAACACGCTTGGGCTCGAACCGCAGCAAACAAGCCCAGTGTAAAAGCAGAAAGTTGGGACATTAAACATTTACCTGGTACAGGATTTGTGTAGGCTACTGTTCTCTCTAAATTTTTTCTTCCCAAGTGTGAATATATATCAGCAGCAAGCCAAACTCTGTTCAAGAGCCAGGATTTGAGCGTATCCTTTAATGAATCAATGTGCAGTTTACATGGGCAGAAACACAGGTGTTACGGAACTGGGGATGTTAACCATAGATATCATATAGAGACTAGATGCCCTATTGGCCGTTGGGCACTGAGAAATCCGTCCGCCAACTTGAACCGGTCGTATTCTTGTACCTGCACTGTTTCTTGCGTACCACTACTTCTCGCATGTAGTCGGTACTCTACCACTGACAGAAAAAGTGTGACGGCCATTTAACACCTTATTTACACTGCACATCTGCGGCGCGTTACGGCTGAGATATGGCTACCGGAGCTGATTGTTACCACCACAAGCGTGATCAGCGCGTATAGGGGAATATCACGCTGATACGTAGTACTTCCGTATTCAGTGATCTTTGTGCACTGCCACTTCCATTGAATCACCGATCTCGCTGGCGAACTGATAAAGGACTACACTAAGTTTATTTATACGGCATCCCTGGTAAAGTAGTCTGATTCACTAAAGTGCCGGCAGCAAACAAATGTGCTACCTTGTTTTATTTTAAAGTTTTAATCCAGTTCTTCCTTATACTCAATTCAGTCGGGAATCCATGAAAACTTACGTAGGGTTGGCGTTGTTTGTTAGATTTACAAAGTGGAACAGAGCAGTGACATAAATAGCATTCGTCTCAGGCATTGTTGAACTGCGTCGGAAGTGGACATGCACAAAGTTGACAAATCCCGCCCATGAAACCCGGAAGCGTGATAATCCCCTATTTTTTAAGGTTTGCATGTTAATCAGTGAGTGCATATTCACACAGCGCGGGCGCGGAGGAGCGGCACGTGAGAGGCAGTGAACTGGGGGTTCGGGCCGAGTCTATTTGTGATGTGCTATGCTCATTTAAATTGAAAGCACACTGTTGACTGAGAAAATGAATAGGATTTGACACAAAAAGTGCCCAAAATGCACAGAATTTGCATGTCTAGTGTGTTTTAACAAGAACTGGAGTAGGCTACGTCAGAAAAGAAAATTAAGACTCAAAAATATTTATACAAGATTTAGCCATTTAAACTTGTCTTAGTTTTTCAGTTTGGGTAAAACTATGTTTTATAAATAAATAAAACGAGCAAACTAGTAAGAATATAAGTTTTCTTTTAGTTTATGTAGCCTACACAGACTGGTACATGCCCAAATCAATCCCGAGTGTACTTTTTTTTATGTTTGCTGTTAACAAATCGAAGTATGACTGAAAAGACAATATCAGAGCTGTTTTCTTGTTGTTTTTTGTTTTTTGTTGTTTACCATTTACATGCAATTGTTGTATATCTCCATTCTTAACAAACTTCAAGAATCAAGTTTATTAATGACCAACTTCTAAAAAGATGATTTCTTTGTAAAGAACGATAAAGGAGATTATCGTGGATTTCCGCAAATGTAGACCCAATCACTCTCCTCTCTATTTTGGCAATGAAGTGGTGGAGAGGGTGCCATTTTTCAAATTCCTGGGAGTAACGGTGACTGAGGACCTGTCCTGGGGAACCAACATCACCTCCGTGATAGGGAAGGCTCAGCAACGCCTCTACTATCTGAGGCAACTGAGGAATGCCAGGATCCCTAAACAGCTTATGGTCAACTTCTACAACTGTGCCATCAGCAGTGTTTTGACATATGGATTCTTAGTGTGGTATTCCAGCTGCACTAAGGCCCATCAGCAGGCACTCCAACGAGTGGTAAATACAGCTGGAAAAAATCATTGGGACCACTCTCCCAAATATCAGTAACATCTATGATAGCCGTTGTTTGAAGAGAGTGAAGAGCATCTTGCGGGACCGGCATCACCCGGCCCATCATCTGTTCCATCTGCTGCCATCAGGAAGAAGGTACAGGTCTATTGGTGCCAGTAAAACCAGACTGGCTAACAGCCTGTACCTTTACGCAGTAAGGCTGCTTAATGATGTCCTTCCCTCTCTCTCCCTACACCCCCCCCCCCCATAACTCATAATTAATAACTATTCATACGGGTTTGGACCAGATAATCATACATGTTAAATCGTCCAAAGAGAGGGATAATATGTTACCTGCATTTGCATTCATAGATAAACATAGACAATTAACCACAAAGGATTATAATCAGCTGCATATGTAATGTTATGTTAAAATTCAATTGTATATCAATACTCAATCCCAATGGGTTATAATTAAATATTAATATATCAGTGATGTCTAACACAATTTTAATCCCTTCTTTAAACATTTTAAAGACTCATCAGTTAAACATACTCATGGCAGATTCCTGTCAATACAATGCACACTGCAACCAACATCATGTGCAAATGAAAGTTGTGGTCAGGTGTCTGTTAACCATAATTTTCAAATAGCTCATGCATGCTCATGCATGTTTTTCAGCTACAAAACTGTTTCCGCTGCCTCAGCATTTGATTTTAAGTCCTCAGAAACTAACATCTACAGTATAATTCTTGTTTCTCTGCAAAAGAGGACATTGAACCAAACCCTCAATAGGCAAAGCTGCAATAAATAGCCTCTTATTTAAAAGTGGCAATAAATATTCACGATATTTATCAAGATAAAATATCTGATCTTTCAAAAATAGTCGAGTTATGAATTATGTTCCCTGCATGTATAAACTTTATGAACCTGACCTACATACATCTTATTGTATTACTGCATTTTGAATTGCTATTTCTAACTTCATGTCAGCCATTATACTGACTAACTAAAAGCAAATAGAGTATTATTGAGATGTTTTTAAAATAAATATCCCTTAAAAATTCTTGTTAGATAAGGTTTTGTACACTCTGAAAGTACCAAATCTAGATACTTGCCAGTTGTTAAAAGAGCTAAAAGCCATAGTCAAAATACGTTGGTCAATTCTGTTGTATTATCATACAATTCTGATGTAGCCTATACATGTATTTTGCATATAGGCTACATCAAGTCAAATCAGTTCACAGAGTGCTTGTGTGCACTCATCAGTTGTGTGGTGAGCAGGACGAGGCTGAGGGCTGCGAGAGGTCAGCACGAGGCTGGTGGCACGATTACTGATGAGTACCACCTGTCCGATGCACCGGTCTTGTAGGCCTATCTCTCACAGAGGAGTGGAAGCATAAAAGGAGGAGTGACGACAGTGGAGATCGAGAGAGACAGGCCTGAACTTGTGTTTTGTTTTGTTTGTGTTTATTGTGTGACCAACACATTCTCATCCCAAAAAGTCATATAACTGACGTCTTGGGACGTCTTTTGACCAAAGTCAATATTCGCCTTTTTAGGGCCCCCTTAAACGTCGGTAGATGGCGATCCCGGGCCGTCATACAACTGACGCTTTACCTTTAACGTCAGTTAGGTGACGGGTTAGGTTTAGGTCTGGGTTAGAGTTAGGATCCGATAACCTCATCTACCGACGTTTAAGGGGTCCCTAAAAAGGCGAATATTGACGTATGGTCAAAAGACATCCCAAAACGTCAGTTATATGACTTTTTGGGGTGAGACTGCGCTGGTGTGACAGCCATCGTCCGTGAGGGGTGCTGTCTTTTACTTTCATTTTGTATTTGTGTATTTTATTATTAAATTGTTGGAATGTTCGCTGGTTCCCGCCTCCTTATTCCCATAACATCTAAACCTTGTTACAAATTTTAACTTCCTGTATTTGCCTTGTTTCTCTAGCTCCCTAGTTTGGGCAAATTCCAAAAAGGCACTTCGGGAAGGGGCCATCATTTGTAAATGTGTTCCAAACGAAAGTGAACAACTGCATCCCTTTGCGAAGGGACTTTCTACAAGGCCGTTGGCAAAGGTTATACAAGCAATGGTCTCTTCAAGGGAGTCATTTTATCATTTACGGCCATGTGACCCAGTACATTCATTTTAAAGCTATAGATGGCTACCTGAAGAGTTTGAGTTAACTTAAACAGAGCCATTCAATTTGTTTTGTTTTGTTCATGATATATTTCACACATTTTTGTTTCAGGTTTCATAGGTAAGAAATGTGTTAGGTACAGAAATACTCACACATATAACACATAATTTAAAATCGTTTTATATAAAATGTATATTTATTTGCAACAGTTATGTTAACAGCAATAATAAGGTATTTCTCTAGTAAGAACATCTAATCAGCTGATGGATTTTGTGCTGGGTTGTCATGGGAACATTCCCAGGTGAAGATAATGAGGAATTTATTGCTCCCTTCGACAAGTGTGTTCCAAACTGCTACATTATGACTATTCCAAAAATAAAAAAAATAACTTTGATAACTAAAAACTCAAAATCTATATGGGCAAAGAGGACACTTACTCATGAGAGAAATGTGTTGTACCTCAACACATCTGTAACATAGACTGTTTCAATTCAATTACAGTAGTCAACATTTGAAGTGGATCAAAAAAGTTCATCAAAGTCCTATAGACAAAAACGTGTAGGCCTATTGTTCAAAATTCGTGTACAACTTTGATGAAAGTTTTGATCCACTTCAAATGTTGACTACAGCATTTACTTATTTAATATTCTTATTAATATTGTGTAGCATTTGACTACATGAAATCTTTACAGGGTGGCAACACGTTTTAATAAGCCAAGTACATTTATGTTGGCAGCAGCAGTAAAAGACAGCCAAATATCCATTTTATTCTGTAGATTAATTGCACTTATATAAATTTACAGTTGTGGTCAGAATTAATGGCACCCATGGTAAAAATGTAAAAAAAAAAAAAAAATAATAATAATAATAATCTGCTTGTTTATCCTTTTGATCTTTTATTCAAACAATTCCCAAAAATCTGTCCTTTCATTGAAGTAAAATAATTGAAATTAAATGCTTTTCTCCAAGTATTTATTAAGTGATAGCAAGCAGAGACCACGCTGACAGAATGTTTCCTGCCAAACAATGTACTTTCCCCTCTCTCAATTTTCAACCTCAGGAAGCTAGGCCCTTTTCTATTCGTGCTAAATGTTACTGTGGTTAATCAAAAGATGTGTGTAACCTTTTAAAGTGAGTATTTTGTGTGTTTACTCAAACATTTTGTTGTTGGCACAGAAATAAATTGCTTATTTATTTGTTTGACAAGGTGTATTATTTTGTCATTTGACAATTTCTGCTGTGGATAAAGAAACAGAAAGTGAAACAAAGAAAAATAGAAACAGACAAGTGAAACAAAGAAAAACAAAACACACGCTTGAGCAACAAGATATAGCTAGTGCAGAGAAAATTAAGTAAAAGTCATTCTGCAATAAAAAAAAAAAAAACATTCAACATTTTGCTACCAACAACCCCTGCAAGCTTGGGTTTTTGGTATGCAAATAACACAGTGTTCAAAGAACAATAAGCAGTCATATGTTTTTAATAATGTCTAAGTTTATATTTGTTCAAAACAATCAATTTAAAATTGTACTATTTTCTGTTTATTTTAATACAAAAAAATCATTTTTGTTCAATACATATACTGTCATTAAAATGTGAATATAAAAAAAAAATATAGGTGGGTTTGTCACGTGTTTTAGTTCAGTTTCCTGTGTTCTAGTTTTCTCCATGGTTTCTTTTTTATTTGATTATCATGTGCACCTGTTATTCATTTAGTTGATTAGTTTGCCTTGTGTTTTTAAGCCATCTCTGTTCAGTTCACTGTCTGTTCTCGTCTACTTTAGTTGCTTGTTGTTTCTTGTTTTGTTTTTTTACTTTTGATGTTTGTTATAAAGACAGAGTGCCATCACTAAATCCTGCACTTTATTTTCATTGTTTGCAACCATGCTCTTAGCTTGAACTTTGATTGAGTACACTATTCAATTATTTGTTTCTTCAAAGTCAAATATCTTTGTTTCTGGCATACTTCTAATTCAGTCTGTTAGAATTGTTGTTTAATTTTGAGAGATTTTCTGACACTAACTCCTACACAGCAAATTTCAGGAGTTGAAAAATCATGAGTTAGGCAAAAAAGTGTGAAAGAGTTAATTTTTTGGAGTTATTTTTTTAACTCTGACTACGGTTTGTGTTATTGGATACTCCCCGGCTGTGTTGTATTTTGGAGTTCATTCATTGGTGTTCAGGAGCGTGTTTTAACACTACACCTGGAGTTATTTTTGAGAAGTGTGCCACGACACGACCCTGCCGCTGCACAAAGGAATAATGGACTTATGTTTTTTCGTGAGGTAGGTGAAAGTGTAACTTATATAAAACTATTTAAAAAATATATTTTCTGACAAACACGTTTGGTCATCGCGTAGCTGTTACGTTACAGGCTAGTTTGTTTACTAATTAACGTCAACGACCATGACAACTTGCCGTTGAACGCATGTTTAAATTACTTGTTTCAAATTTTGAAATGGCTGTTTACGTGGGTTTTTTGTCGATGTAAACGATTTAACATTAGCTAACCGTCTTTCCATTCACCGTGTTTCTGTAAATGAGTGTTTTGCCGTGAAATTGATGCATCAATGCATTACAGGCAATTGAATTGTAACAGCTCTATACCGTTAGGCTATATTAGTGGTGACCCACGATGTGCGTGATTTTCAGCTTATATATTTTTGCATTCTCAATGAATGGTGCTAGATTATATTATGCCTCATGCTGTTGTTTTTGTGATCTTCAGACGACTGTCCTGCAGCACAGCCCATTCTCACCCCCAAGGCGTCACCTAACTGACGCCTTGGGAAGCATTTGACCATGCTTCAATATCTGACGCTTTAGGCGCCCTTTAGCGTCAGTTAGATGACGCCCTAGGATCGCGTGTACCCTACCCCCACCCCATACCTAAACCTAACCGCGTCCTCTAACTGACGCTTTCCTTTAGCGTCAGTTAGATGACGCCGTAGGATCGCGTCATGTAAGTGACGCTAAAGGGCGCCTAAAACATCAAATATTGAAGCATGGTCAAAGGTGACGCCTTGGGGTGAGAATGTGTTGCGGTTGAAGGTTACTCCTCCTCAAGTCTGAACCAAATGGATTTGCTCAAAAAAAGGCAGTAAATCAAGAGTATGGTGTCCAGTGTAGTAATTTCCACACAAAACATTATTTTGTGTTAAATAAATGTTAACTCTAAGAAGTGTTAAACTAAACTGGTAACACTGGTAATGAGTTCATATAATTAATTTTAGAGTTACATTTACTCTCTGTAGGATTAGTATTTTAACTCCATTTTAACTCTGAAAAAAAAAAGTTAAATTCAACTCCAAGAGCAGAGTTATTTTAACTCTGCGCTGGAGTCTAATTGATGGTCTCACATGTACACTCAGATTGAGTTGATTTTAACTAACAGGGAGTTTATTCCAAAAACCAGAATTTGCTGTGTACTATTCCAAAAGTTAAAAGACACTGTCAAATTGTGTGGGTCATTTATAATTTTATTGTCATTTTAATGCAAGTACAACAAGCCAGATCAGTTCACAGGTTGCTTGCTTTTACAATACATGTCAATTAAAAACACAACACATTATTTGGCCTTCCAATCATATCCAGAACATGTCTTTGGTGAAATTCAGAATGATTCCAGATCAGCTTATTTCATTGCATTGGTTTCAGTAGCTTAATGTCAAATTCTGTAAAGTTCCTTAAAGCACCAGTTCACCAAATCTTTACTTTTAAAGTAACCAATTATTTTTACATTAACAAGCTGCATCTTTAATACATGCTAGTAATTTGAAAGATAAAACTGGGGTGTATAGGATGTTCAACACATTAGATCTATAGGCTAAATGCGTTTCCATCTTAACCTTCACTGCATTGATCCTTCAGTAATGAATTCAGCAAGACGAGGGAAGATTCTGAAGTGATGAATGGACACAAATGAGTCAATCTGGATACAGTTGTGCTCTGTTATTTAGTTTAGTTTAAAAGCATGATGTTGATCAGACCCGTTCAGTGTTTACAGTCCAAATCTATATAGCAAATGACCCAAACTCCAATTAATATCGACTTAAATAAAAAATACATAGAATTACATCCAAAACACAGCATTGAAAAAGGCAATAATGCAGCAGTTAAAACATCCGTAACTTTGTTTACATTTCTATTGGTTCAGGAAAAGAGAGGGATGCGTCATCTCAGCCGAGAGAAGACGTGTATAAATGTAAAATCAATCTTTACTGAATACATTGTCCTAAATCTGCCTGATGCTGGTACGAAATCTTATTTAAGAGTCCTAAATTAGGGCATCGAACCACAATGTTAACTGATCACAATTCATAAATGCACCTCAGTGCGATCAAGACTACAGAGCCATCCACGATCCGTTTTAAGTGCCATGAGCTTCTGATGCCATGTGTTGAATTAGACCAGGAGGTTTCTAATGGTGCCTTAAGAATGAGTAGCATGCCTTGATGCTTTTGTTCAAAGAGGTTAAATTCATTTTTGTTTGGTTTCAGTTCAGGTATGTTCAAATGTGACTGTTCCAGGACAAAGGAAGACAACAAAGGCAATGCAATTAAATACAAACGATCATGTCATTATGTTTGGTGCATCTTGACTCCGAAAAATAACTCTAAAGTAAATATGAGCTACGATTCCACAGGACGGAGTTTGGTTTGGTTTATATAAAAGTGTAGTTTTGGACTGCAGAAACGGAAAACAAACGTACTGGGCCCACATTTTGGTTTCACTTCTGTTGATATGTCACGTAATATAAATGATGATTCCGTATTCTTCACAAAAACCTGTAAGTTCTACAATTAAAAAGATTCAGACTAAGACATGTCCTTTCTACGACAGGCTAACAGTAAATTGTTGTGTTCACGTTATTTGTGTCACAGCGACGGACACCCAAAAGTTTGATTTAAAATTTCTATCATGTACTAGAACATAAATGCAATAAACAGACAACTCTATAACCCCCTAATATATATTTATATATTAAAAAAAAAAAAAAAAACTTGATTTTTCAGGCCTTAGTGACACGTGTAGAAACTTAAACCAGTTTTGGAATCGGTGAAAGTTGTTTACCACCTTTCACAGGTGACGGCATACTAGTTTCAGTCACACAACACAAACCCTCGACGGTTAAATCAACTACTGTATGAAAACGGAGCGATTAGCTAAGCTAACTAACCTACGCTCTAACCGCCGTGGTGTGTTAGGAGGAACGGTGAATGGAGCCTATGTCTACCGAAGATACATTCAGTCAGGAGATACCGTGTCATTTTCTTGTGCTGGTTTATACAACAGTCCGTTTTCATTCAGCCATGTTAGGAAATGTTTCATTCTCTGTGTGAGCAGCACAAGGTCATCTTTTTCGTCCACACGTTGCGTCGATACAAATTAACGATAGAAACGTCTATTCGAGTCACGTCTTTAGTTATGTACACGTCATTGTTGCACTGATTTTTTTCATTTTTATCAAAAAGCAAGAAACAGGACCAACACAAGTACGTTATAGCATCATACACCAAATTTTGCATGCTTTTTCTTTACGCGTATGGACTTTGGATTACTTAGAATTGATTTTTAAAGAAGCGATACCAGAAAAATATCCTAAGCTTTAGGGTAGTATTGTTGGATGAACGTTCGTGGTACATTTAAAACACTGATTCAGTTTCTTACGGTGTGTGATTGAGGCTAATAATCTAGCAGAATGTTTGATGGTTTAGTTATAATGTTAATACAAACCTCCTTTCTTTTGAAGTCTTATTGAAACAGTAGTTTATTTTTGTCTTAGAGGGCCAAAATGTCTCGATTTCCCTCCCGGGTTTCTGTAGTGAACTCAAAAATATATTATTTCATTCATATCACAGATTCACCATGAAATAAACTCTGCTTTGAAAATAGAAATGACAAAACAAACCGTTCACGTCGAACATGTTTAGCTTCTTTGAAACACGTAATTCGTTCGGAAAGAATGTGTGACACTATTCTCACGAGATTTTAAAACCGCCGAAACATGCTCGGCACGGCCACGCCCTCATGAACGAAAGCAAAAACCGGGGGATAAAGGAGCTCTCGGTGGTCTGCGGATTCTCTTATTGGTGTTCTCTCTCCCTGAAGAGAGAGTAGTATGCAAACGTTTTAATACAAACTCCCTATTTACGTGCCGGGTTTGTTGTACATTTTGAACATCGGTCATATAGACATACATAGGGTACACGAGGGAGAGGGGGTTGCAGTGGAAACCCCAATCGAAAAACGGGAGGCGAGAGGGGAGGGCATGGCCTTGAGACTGCAGAACCCTCCTCAGTTCATTTGCTCGAAGAATTTGTAAGTGGGGTTTTCATAGCCGTGATTCTGCATCTTATTGAGCTGTCTTTCCTCGGGGGTCAGCATGGGGTCGACCTGCTGGGAAAGAGACAGAGACAAGATGGGGAAAGAATCGCTTAAAATGGAGCGTAAGTGAATTTAAATGGGAAGAATGAATGGAACAGGAAGATTTAACAAGTTGGCCATGGGCAAAAATTAAATCATTACGATGGGTACATCTGAGCAAGCTTCCCATATGGAAGAACATTACAAAATGTCACAATATTAGAGACTTATACTATATAGGTAGGTGTATAGAAACATACTGTATATGTTGCAATTTCCATATGTATGCATTTCTACAAATACACAATTAGCAACATTACAATTAAATACACAATTAGCGTATTGCATTCACTTGAAGAAAAAAAAGTCTACTCTTTTTTTCTGAATTAATGAGTTAATTATCTCAGAATTACAAGATCATTTTTCATTTTTCAGAATTTCTGAGTTTTTGCGATAATCAAGTCATTAATTAAAAAAAAAAATATCCATGAAAAATTATCTTCTAATTCTGAGATAATTAACTTGTTAATTCAGAAAAAACAGAACAAAAACTTTTCCCCATGAAAAATTATCTCTTAATTCTGAAATAATTAGCTTGTTAATTCAGACAAACCGAGTAGATTTTGTTTCCTCGAGTGAACGCAATACGCCTCCGTACATAAATGCTCAATTCTGTCAAATATTTGTTAAACAATGATTTATCATCATTTTATCATTTAACAAAAATATAATGATCTACCATTTGTGTATACCTTCTATCAAATTAAAACTTGGCATACATTTTTGAGAAAACAAAAATAGTCACTTATCTGATTGTGACTGATTGGCTTAATATTTTAGAAATTAGACTATTTCTCATAATTGCAGTTTTATAACTTATAGCTGCAGCTGTAGATTACACAAATGCAGCTTTTCTTATGTCTTTACTTTTTTTTATTACTATATTCACAATTATACATTTTTCCCTCTCTGAACTGAAGCAGAAACAGCCCACTAGCTCTTCTCAAAATGATTTAAACTCAAATCATTATTTCATGTCTATTGAAATATTTATTGGATAAATGGTTGTGCAATTATTGAAAAAGAACCCCTAATCAAGTCTCAGACATTTTGCACAATGATTTATAGGCCTGTATTTATATTTTACAAATTTCACATACAAAACTACATTAATTATGAGATTACATTAATTTAGTAGAGATTAAATATTAAATTCTGCTTCATGGTTTCACTTTTTTCCCTATCAAATCAAAATATCAGAATGCAAAAATGGCTATGTAGCATGAAGGAAGCTGCTTCAGGGGTTTGGTTGTTACTGCCTCATGTTCCTTTGAAATTGATAGCCAAATCGAATTATTTTACTTGAATGTGTCAAGATAAATTTACATGAGGCTGTCGCATTAAAAACCACAAACACAGCCAGAAGCCATAGTGACGTCAGGGTTTGACCCCATTTCTTGAACGCACTCCATCAAAAACTAGCCATTTGGACATCCTGTCAGCTGAACTCTCACCTCTACTATGCCATGGCTGATGGTTCCATATGGCTTACGGCGGACTAGCAACAAGCTGATGACCATCACCATAGCGATGGCCACGGCAACCACCAGCAGCCCCACCATTGCCCCGCGGTTAAACGTCTCCAAAACGTCCGGCTGCTGTGATAGATAAAAAAAAAAAAAGGAAATGAGTTTTAGTAGTACTGTATACAGGGAACATATTAGCACCTGAGGGGGCATAACTTTATTTGTATAAAATGGAAATCCATCCTACTGGGATACTCCACTTTTTTGGGAAATAGGCTCATTTTACAACTCCCCCAGAGTTAAATTGTTGAGTTTTACCATTTTTGAATCTATTCAGCCGGTCTCCGGTTCTGGCGGTACCACTTTTAACATAGCTTAGCATACATCATTGAAGTGCACAAGACCATTAGCATTTCTCCAAAAAAAAAAAAATAATAAAATTGACCAAAGAGTTTCGATATTTTTCCTATTTAAATCTTGAGTCCTCTGTAGTTACATTGTGTACTAAGACCGACAGAAAATGTAAAGTTGTGATTTTCTAGGCTGAAATGACTAGGAACTATACTCTCATTCCTGCGTAATAATCAAGAAACTTTACTGCCGTACCATGAGTTCAGCAGGCGCAATGATATGACGCAGCGCCTGAAAATAGTCCCCAGTTTAGCCTTTTTTCATATCAATATATGAAAAGCATCAATTCCTAATATATTATTGTAATATATTAACACAATTTATTATTCTGTATATTGTCAAATATACTGTTAAACCGTTTACTACATTGATCATTCATATATCAGGAGATCAGGAGAGGCTATAGCAATAGCAAGCTAGTTTTGAAAGCATAAGATTAGATAGGAACTCAAGAATGAGACGGTCTAGTAAATACGCATGTCCAAGTCACACATGTTCTTGCCCTGAAAACTTGACTGGAAGCTTGGGCGCAGGCCAAGCAAGGACGCAGCCTTTTGTTTGAGAAGCGCCCTTATGTTGACTGGCAGGTAGCACATCCTATTATTGCATTCAGTAGACAAATCTTTTTTTGGTCCTGAGACTTCCACAGAAGATTAAAGTCTATTTTAAATATTTATACCACTTCTATTATTGACTGCTCTCAGGATGTTAAGAAAGTTTCAACCAGTATAACAAAAAGTGTTTATGAAAAACATTGCCTATCCAATAGCTTTAAGTAATCGCTTTGCATTTACGCTTAAACATGAAAGTAAGTTTGGTAGAATAATTTTCCAAGAGCTAAAGGAAAAAAAACTAAACATTTAGACATCGTAAAACAAACAAATTCACAAATTTGAACGCTCACCAGCTCATCTCTCTGGATTCCTGGAGACTTGTAGACCACTTGCTTTAGCTCTACAGAGGTGTTGATCTGAGGAACACATAAAGTTGATTGTGTGGGATAGAAAAACATTTTCAATTCTACTCAAGCTTGGCATTAAAACGGAATTGTCAGAGAAAAGTCCGAGATTATTTTTTATTGGGGAAATATCATCTGTGAAGTTTTTGTTTATTCAAACTCATTAAAACTCCAAATGGTGACATCCAGTGGTCAAGTTGCAAAACTGCAGAACTTGTTCAGAGCAGCACACTGACATACTACTATTACTCCAGAACAACATACATACAGTAGCTATTTAGTGTGCACATTTTCTGTTTCAATAAAATACCTACATTTGCCAAAATGTGCTTTATACAACAGAGCACACTGCATGAAATACTGTAACCCAAAAAGCAATGTTTTTGACTATATACCTTCAATTTCCAATATGATTTGATGAGACCACCAGAAGTAAAGACATTTTTTGTTAACTGAGTGCTCTTGATTAATCCAAAATAAAAAAAAAGATGTCCCCCCCCCCCCAAATCATGCAGCCCTAAAAGACATTAATGCAGCTAGTATTTCAGTCCAAAAGTAAAAGTAAGTCACTTCTGTAATGAGCGATTCTGTACACATTATAGTGTATTTTTGTGTCTCTTAGAGCAGATTTTGTCCTAACCTTCTCCTCGTATTCATAAGTTGGTCCTCTCTCAGAGGTGGTGTAGTCATACTCATCTACTGATGAAACTGTGGACAGACAGAAGAGTGACCTCACAGTTATTCAAGTATATAACTAAAAACAAACTATTAAATGATTACATTATATCACAGAGCTTTGGTATTTACCTTTCTTATCCCTAGGCTGGGGGTCTACATTGCCACAAAAATAAAGAGAAAGGATAAAGGATAGTTAGTATTTTCAGACTGTTAACATCTGAGTTAAGCTCCACGCATATCCTCATTATGCATGTTGTACCGATGCGTGGTGGGTAGGGGCGGTTCTGGAAAGCTCTGTCCTCTTCCTCCTCATCATCTCGCTCTTCCTCGCTCTCGGCAGGAAGCAGCTCTTCTGTGGTGCGCGTCTCGGAAAAGGAAGTGGTCATGAGTTCGCTGATGTCCCCTCTCTCTGTTCTCACCAACTCCTCTGCAGAGACAGACAGATTGAGTGAATGATTTTGAGAATTTTTAGACTTTGAGGCAACAAAAGAATTCACTAAAACACTTACGGATTTCGTCGTGAAGTTTCTCAGCCAGGCCGGGGACTTTATAGAGCAGAGCCAGGCTTTGGTTCATCCTCTCTTCGATCACATGCAGGTGTGTGTACACCTTCAAACACAGAAATCACATTGCTTTTTTATTCATTTTCGCGTCATCTGACAAAATCAAGCATTAAATCGGACACGTCTACAATGAGCGACAAGTAGATCATTTGGGAGCAGACGTCAATGCAGTTGGGTGCACACTATGGTGGCATAAAATCAGTGGTAGCAAGTGGAGGAAAATGGGTGAGATCCACGGATTATAGGGGAATTTTTTTTTTTTTTTTGTAGTGCCACTGGATGTGCGAATCGGACTACAAAAAATTTTCTTTCTTTTTATAGAGCACCATTGTGACAATGCCACAGTAAAGCCCTGCACAATGCTCACTTAAGTTAATTTTTATATTGTAAACTGTATGTATATGTGCCATGACAAAATATTCTTTTATTTTTATTTTTCTAATCTGCCTGTATGTTGAGTTTAAGCATTTGCCTATGCTTTTTTGTTTGAGGGGGAATAGGGGGAACTTTTAAAGGACTCTTAAAGGAGTAGTTCACTTAAAAAAAAAAAAAAAAAAAAAAAAAAACTTTTGCTGATAATTTACTCACCCCCATGTCGACCAAGATGTCCATGTCTTTCTTTCTTCAGTCGAAAAGAAATTAAGGTTTTTAATGAAAATATTCCAGGATTTTTTTTCCCATGTAATGGACTTCATTGGGAACCAAACTGTTCAAGATCCAAATGAGAGTTTCAGTGCAGCTTCAAAGGGCTTTAAACGACACCAGACGATGAATAAGGGTCTTATCAAGCGAAACCATCGGTCATTTATGGTTGATTCATGAACCAAATGACTCAAACAGATTTGTTCATTTTGATGAACGAGTTTAAACAGGAGAGTAACGAACGCTCATCAGAGAACAGAGTAAGCGAGCATTTGAGCTTGTAAAACTTAAACTTTTTTATTTATTTTTTAAATGACTGATCATTTCACTAGATAAGACCCTTATTCATCGTCTTGTGTCGTTTAAAGCCCCTTGAAGCTGCACTGAAACTTGAAGCGTTTGGTTCTGAGTGAAGTCCATTATATGGAGAAAAATCCTGGAATGTTTTTATCAAAAACCTTCATTTCTTTTCGACTGAAGAAAGAAAGACATGGAAATCTTGGATGGCATGGTGGTGAGCAAATGATCCGCAAAAGTTTTTTTTTTTTTTTTTTTTTTTTTTTTTCTAAAGTGAACTACTCCTTTAATAAGATGAGCCTAGGGTAAAGGAAGTGGTGGCCATTTTGAAAGGTGTTTTTTTTTTGGTTTTGTTTTTTGAGGAGGTGGCCCAAAAAGGATCTGTTTGATCTCCACGTGCTCTGGTCTGGGATATACATGGTGGACTATACTTTTGTTTCCAGCTGGAGGATAACCTGTTATTTGTGGGGCCTTGAACCAGTGGATTTGTATTTTTTTTCTCTTTTTGGGGACTTTGTTTTTTATCCGGACTTTAATTTGCCTATCTACCCCAAAGCAGAAAAGGACTAAGGTAGGACTGTTGAGGATTGTCTTTATTTATATTTTGTTTGCACGGACTTACTACTCTTGAACTTTCTCTATTTGGACTATTTTTTTTTTTAGTTTTACACAAAGAGTCAACCGTTTTATGTAACATTTTTCTGAGCGTCTAAGTTGCCTTTATATTTTCAATGCAATGTTTTTGGGGGACTTTGTTGTCTTGCTGCTTTTGTGAAGTGGTTTTGATCAAGAGTAAAAGAAAACAATAGTCAACTCCCCTTGTTATAATGATTCACTCACTTTTTGAAGAGTTGAAGTTGTTACACCGTCATCTAAAATGCCCCTTGAAGCTAAACAAAGACTTTTATGTTTGCAAGCAATTAAACAGACAGACCGGACTGAGAAAACCTATGACGATTAGCCTATTATTAAAGTATGAATTTGATGTAAACAATATATCTATCATAATATCTTCAGTTCATAGAGGGCATAACGTATTAGCCTTGTGGTTACAGCATGAAATATTTAAACCTAAAACATTTTACATAGATAATGTTTAAACCTATAAAATTTTTTCTCTCACAATTCTGAGAAACAGTATATCTATAAAGTTTAAAACAAAATCTGAATTGTGGGATATAAACTATATTCTATACTTTATTCCGTGGCGGAAACAAGCTTCCTAAGACTATTACTGCATTCTGCCATTAGGTAAGCTCCTCCCACAAAACATGTCATCGCTGTTTACAAACACCAAAATGATTCGTTCTTGTCATACTGTGCTAGGTAGCTCCGCCCACACCGAAATCGTATTGGTCTCATTGGAAGAACAGATAGTGTCTCAAACCTGGAATTTCATCTGCTCAGCCTTTTGGGGGTCGGCAGACTCGATGTGCTGGTAATGACGAAGAGTGTGTCGTCGGTCCTTCTGCTCCGCGGCCATATAGCGCTTCAGAGCCTGAAGCACACGGTCTGGCTGTGTGTTTGAGTGTGTGGGAGAAAAAAGAAGAGAAATAATGTCAAAAGGAGAATTAGAAATGCAATATCTAATACATCCACATGCTATCAACTAAGAAATAGATTTAAAAAAAAAAAAAGGTTTCTGATTTGATTTTTAACTTGAACTTTTAACTTTATAGTCCCCAGGGGGGACTTTCTTTTCCACAGCACTGCACTCTAACACACGCACAACATAACCAATATAATACAAAAAGACATAATACAGGAAAAACAAAAACAACACAAAAGTCATGTCTGTTGTTAGGGCATGTGATGGCTGAGGGAATCAGGCCCTCAATTTCTCTAACATAAGAAAGAACTATAATCACACAAATGTCTTGCTATACCCTGGTTGTATTATTACTAACTCTGATGGAGTCTTCCTGTACAAATATACCTATGAAATATATTGATATTTCTCGTTCTTACTATTTCTGTATTACTTTTCCCTTTGCCAATACAACTGAACAATCCTTTTTTAGCAAATGTTGTATTGTGCTAATATTGTGGTAGCCATTCTCAGTTAGTGTCGTACCTGTGGAGGGTCGCTCTGCACAGCGCTCAGATAGCTCTCCAGTGCCAGTCTACGGTTGTTATTCAGGGTGGCAACCACACGGGCCAGGTGTGTCTCCACCAGCCTCTGCCTCTCCCCGGCTACCTGCTCCTCAAGGGTCTGTAAAACAGACTGGAAATGCTGGGAAAGAGATAAAGAGAAAGGGAGAGAGATGGAGAACAATTTGAGAAGTGTCACAGTAATGACTGTAAACACATGAGGCAGCTTTCGCTACACATTTTACTTTTGTGCTGTGAGAGAACAGGAAAAAAAAAAACGTAGGGCAGGGCAGGATTTTTATCCAACATGACTTGATTGGACTTGAAGATCTGAATGTAATCTCACTTATGAAAAACAGCACCAACTTTTGAAAGAAGAGTTTTCTTCAGGTCAAGTTCACCACCAATCATTATTTAATGATTGATCAATGCTATGCAAAGTCATCGTGAACTATCATTTGCAACCTATTTTACTTCATAAATCTGGAAATTCAGAGACAAATTTTTAGGTTGGGACTTGATTTTATCCTTCAGATTTGATTGAATTGTGACCCTACAAAGTCCTGAATATGACATATGTATTTTGGGGAAAAAATATGTATATTATGGCCACAAAGAAAGAATTCGTCCCCATGACTTAGCATGTTTTATTAGTTCGTTCCCTCGTTTTAAGTAAATGCACACAATAAACACTCGTTTCCTCGTTTTACTAAATCTTGGTCATGTTGGAATAATGTGTTCCTTTGGTTTAGGTAAATCAAACTTGGCCATGACTTACTAAACCAGCATTATTTGATCAAAATACAGTTAATGTTATTATATTATTATGATTTTAAAGAACTGTTTTCTATTTTTATATCATTTGAAAAATGCAATGTATTCCTATGATGTCAAAGCTGAACTTTCAGCATCATTACTCTAGTCTTCAGTGTCACATGATCTTTCAGAAATCAATCTGATATGATTTGCTGCTCAAGAAACATCTCTCATTTTTATCCATGTTGAAAACAGTAGTGCTTCTTAATATTTTTGTGGAAACCGTGATACATTGTTGTTCATGATTCTTTGATAAACAGAAAATGTTCAAAAGAACAGCCTGTATTTGCGATATATATCTTTGGTTACATTATAAATGTCTTTACTGTCATTTCCATCAATTCAAGTGTTATTTTCTGTCAAACAGAAACATGTTACTGACCCCAAACTTTTGAACGGTAGTGTAATCGTCGTGTTTATTTTACCTCATTCAGTGCCTGGCGGTCTGACTTAGGCAGGTCCTTTGACTGGTTATCAGCCTCTGCCCACTCCTTCATGATCTGGATACACAAAATAAAGTCACATGATCCCATTCCCTCTTACACACTCTTCTGGGTCTCATAAGGACTTATACTCAAACCTAAAAAGTCATGCCTCCCTCACCTCATTGATGCGTTTCATTCGCCGTTCCTCCAGGTCCATCTTGGCACGCAGGAAGTTGGCATGTTCACTGTCGTCTCCCGGCATCTCGAAGTAAACATCCACGCCATCTGTAGGACGAGGAGTGGGCACTACCGACAGGAGAGCAAGTGACTTAATTAAGAACCAATCAGGGATTACTAAATCAATGAATGGAAGAAAGAATTATCACTAGCTCAGGGAAGCTAAAGTAGAGTCAGTACGAGCAGTGTGTTAACTTTAAATCGTCAGCACCGCTGTATAAAAGGATTAAAGAGTCATTTAAGCTTAGGCATCCCATATAACCTCTGCTGAATGTCTCTGTGTGCGTGTGAGACAATATATAACATGAAATGTCAGTTGTAAGACTCACGGTTGTCCATTCGAGTTTGAGGTTGGGTGGAGGCTTTGGCAGTCTGGAGGTTCTTGTCGTAGTAGAAGTTGTCCATGTAGTCTTGGCCCTGGAAATGAGAGTCGATGGGATACTCATAATCTTCTTGGTCCTTTGCTGTTGTGGGGGTTTCCTCCTCCTCAGCTTCCTCTACCTCAGCTGCCTCTTCTTCATTCCTATCCTCCTCCTCTTCATCCTCTTCTTCCTCAGCTTCTTCCTCCACTACCTCCTCCTCTTCTTCCTCCATGTCGTCTTCCTCGATGTCCGTCTCAGGGGAGGGACTGGGGGTGGGTGGTGTCGTTTTCACACTGAAAGATTTTAAAGTTAGTACATTCTCTTTTTTAACACATTTGGTCAGTTGTAGGTCAAGGTGCAATCAGTGTAGTCTAAATTCTCAAAGGAATGACTCTTATGCGATGATTCTTTTTAGTGAATCAAACATACAATGTAGCCAGTGTAGTCTACTTCCCAAATGACTCTTCTGAGCTGATTCTTTTTAGTGAATCATACAATACAACCAGGGCTGTGTTTCCCAAAAGCAGCTTTAGCCTGAGTCGATCTTAAAGACCATTGGTGGGCAATTGACCCTTTGCAGGGAGCTTGATTGACAGGTGATCTGACCAATCATACTTAGCCATCCGCCATTTTGTCCGACAAAGCAGTCAGGAGATTTAGTATAATAACTTGGGGGGGAGATTTGAACTTGAAAAACAGAATACACTGACGCCTTTCTGCGGTTAAAACAACATCCCTTAGGTTCATTCATGTTTATTTGAAGCTATAAATGAACTAGAAGGAAGAGATGATCGGATCACGAGCAGATTTAACCAACCCGATCTCACGACCAAGTCGTATGAATTCGACGAATGATTAAAAAGTGGCTAATTCGTAACAATTCATATGACCTCACTCGTACGAATTAATACGATTTTGCTAAATCGTACATATTTTATTCGTATGAATTCGTACGAATGACCTACCCCTTACCCCGCCCCTAAACCTAACCGTCACGTGGGTTTAGACAAATCGTACGAATTAGTACGAGTGAGGTCGTACGAATTAGTACGAATTAGACACTTTTTAATCATGCGTCGAATTCGTACGAATTGGTCGTGAGATAGTGTTGGATTTAACTGATGCTCTACAGCGAACTGTCACGACACATTAAAGAGCCACAAAACGGTATTTATTGTTTAAATTTCTTAAAAAAATTGACCAAATTTGAAAGGTGAGACTTTGTTTAATATGTTTAATATCAAAAGGGTCAGCATGTTGTCAGTCTGCGATGCATTTTTCACTGTGTAAGAACATGGTGTGTGTGTGAGAGAGAGCAGCGTAGCTTGTCGGACATAGCAACAGTAACTAACGGGAGTGGGTCTTTGCGAACGGTCAATTGGTTTTACGATCAACTTAGGCTTACAATGCTTTTAGGAAACGGAGCCCAGTATAGTCTGATTCTTAAACATATTACTCATATTAGTCTGTTCTTTTGAATGACTCAAAAACATGCACTGTTAGTGTAGTCAGATTCCTAAAAAGCAATTGACTCTTATGATGCGATTCATTTTAGACAACAAACACATACGTTGCTACCACCAGTGTAGTCTGATTCCAAAAATGAATGAATCTTTTGAGGTGATTTATTTTTAGTGAATCAAAAACAGCTTAAACAGTGTAGTCTGATTTCTGAAGAAAAGCATCTATTCTTTTTACTGGATCAAACATACAGCTTAGTTAGTCTAGTCTGATTCCCGAATTAATGATTCTTATGAGCTGACTGTTTTTCGTGAATAAAACATACAACATAACCAGTGCAGTCTGTTTCCAAGATGAAAGAATTAGACAAGTCTGTTCTTTTTTTAATGATCAAAAATATTCAGCCCATCCAGCATAGTCTGATTCCCACATGAATGATTCGTATGAGCTGACAGTTTTTAGTGAATAAAACATACAGCACTCCCAGTGTAGTCTGTTTCCCCGATGAAGTCTGTTCTTTTTAATGATCAAAAACATTCAGCCCATCCAGCATAGTCTAATTCTTGAATGGATGACTCTCATTAGGTGTTCTTTTTAAATGACCGACATGTTGATAGATGCTGGCTTCTTCTTCAGCTCCGACATCGCGTGCAGCCGTGCACGAGCGCAAAACCTCACAACGCCCACCCCCTGTCGGTGACTGGTTGGAACACAATTGAAGATTGGTGAAACCAATTGTTTTTGAGCCTAGGCTGCCTAAAGAGACGTGTTTTTTTTTGACTGCTTGTGGGTAGCTAGCGGATCATTAGGAAAGATATGTTTTAGCCTTTTTTTCGGCCTGAAATCGCTGATACAACCTTTAATATTTATGGAGCCGCCAAGGAACCAAAATCGTGAAGAGGAATTGAAATTAGAATCGTTAAAGGATTAGTTCACTTTTAAAAAAACCTTTGCTGATAATTTACTCACCCCCATGTCATCCAAGATGTCCATGTCTTTCTTTCCTCAGTCGAAAAGAAATTAAGGTTTTTAATGAAAACATTCCAGGATTTTCTCCATATAATGGACTTCAATGGGAACCAAACAGTTCAAGGTCCAAATGAGAGTTTCAGTGCAGCTTCAAAGGGCTTTAAACGACACCAGATGACGAATAAGGGTCTTGTCAAGCGAAACGATCGGTCATTTCAAAAATAAATAAAAAAAGTTTACGTTTTATAAGCACAAATGCTCGCCTTGCTCTGTTCTGTGATGAGCATACTGTACAAACTCATTCATCAAAATGAACAAATCTTTGACTCGAAAGGTCCTCCATAAGACCCTTTTTCATCGTCTGGTGTCGTTTAAAGCCCTTTGAAGCTGCACTGAAACTCACATTTGGACTTTGAACCGTTTGGTTCCCAATGAAGTGCATTATATGGAGAAAATCCTGGAATGTTTTCATGAAACCTTAATTTCTTTTCGACTGAAGAAAGAAAGTCATGGACATCTTGGATGACATGGGGGTGACTAAATTATCAGCAAAGTTTTTTTTAAAAAAAGTGAACTACTCCTTTAAATTCTTTTAGTTACCAGTAGCAATCATAACTGATGATTTAGGAGATTCAAACCTACATTTAAAACTCTCAAAGCATTGTCTAATATGATTCTAATTATTAAATTACGGGTTAAAAGTCAGCTGTGGTGAAAATAAGGATAAAGCATTTTGACACTGATGAATGTGAATGAATGAATGAATGTGTTGAAATGAGCAACCGTTATTATTAACGGACCACTAAACTTATTTACCTGGTGACAACTTTTTCTCCAGCCATGGAGACGAGGGGTGTTGTTTCTCCTTGTACAGTGTCTGCAGTCTCCGTTTCGCCCCGTCCACTCGATCCTGCCCTACCGGGGCAACAGACGTACTCCACCCCACGGAAACGGTCACCACACGGCAACAACATCCCGTAACTATGCAGCTCCAGACTGTCGGCGGTGCACGCCTAATGATCAGGGCAAAAGATGAATGACTGCAGCAGTGCTTTTAAAAAAAGAAAAAGTGCATTATTTCTTCTTTTTTATCTTTTTGTAATTGCTTGTACATGTCAGGATGAAATGACCTATACAACTCAAATAGAAAAACCTGGCGCACCAGACGATACTGGTAATAATGCAGAGAGGAAATGAGAAAAAGAAGATCATAGATCACAGCGGGCGACTGCAATTTCACAGGCATCACACTAACCATTAAAGATGTGAAGCTATTACAGCTGAATTCCAGTTCTTCCAATACTTTTTCAGGTTTTAATTTTGTGAGCTTTTATTATTTACCTCTTTGGCGATGCTGTGCCAGTACACGTAGCTCTCGCAAGAATCCATCTGCTCCTGGTGTAAGAAACGGCAGCGATCCGGGACCAAGAGTGAATCGCTGACATACTCACCCACTGAGAGGCAGAGAAAGAGAGAAACATAATTAAATCACAGTCATTAAAAAAAAAAAAAAAAAAAAAAAAAAAAAAAAGATTATTTAATAAAGCATGCGTTCAAAAATGTGGGTTCAATAAGAAGTTTATTCTTTTATTCAGCAAGGACACATTAAATTGATCGAAAGTGATGATAAAAGACGTATAATGTTACAAAAGATTTCTATTTCAAATTAATGCTTTTCTTTTGAACTTTCTATTCATCATAAGTATCCTGAAACTTCAAAAAAATACAATTTCCACCAAAAATATTAAATATAAAATAGTATATTTTAAATCGTGACTTAAAATAGTAAGTAAAATAGTTTGAATTGTAATTAAATGCATCTTTCAAAACACGCCCTTTTATGATATTGACTGGAATAAATTCTAAAACAAAAGAATGAGAAAATAGCTTTAAAATACTGGAGACCAAAAAAAAAATGGTGTTAGCAGTTTTGAAAATGCCCACCGTGAGCTGAGAAGGCAAATATGTGAAGTGGGAACTTAAAATATGTGCAGTATGTGAGCAGAAACCAAGGACAAAAGCTCCTCAGAGGCAAACAGCTGCACACGCATTACTTATTCATCAACATTAGTACTGAGCCAACAGATTTATGACTTATTTATTTATTTTTGGTTGTGATATACCACATTTGTATGGCATTGCAGAGTACAATGTACTACAAAATGATGCTGTAATATTGCAGTTAAGAAATCTCAGAAACATCATGTTCATCCTCACAATTCATTGTTAAAGTGCCCTTTTATTTTATTTTAAAGGCTCCTAATTTTGTTATGATGGTTTCCTACAGCATTCAAGATCAGAAAGCACTTATACTGTACACTGCAGCATCAACTCTTTTATAAAAGTGTCTTAAATTGTTTGATAAAGGATCCGGTCTCTCTAAACCTCTCCTTTCCGAGAGTCTGCTCTGCTCTGATTGGTCAGATGTCGCAGTCTTTTGTGATTGGTCCACTCTGCTCTAATTGGTCAGATGTCCCAGCCTGTTGTGATTGATCTACTCTGCTCTGATTGGTCAGATGTCCCAGCCTGTTGTGATTGATCTACTCTGCTCTGATTGGTCAGATGACCCAGTCTGTTGTGATTGATCTACTCTACTCTGATTGGTCAGATGTCCCAGCCTGTTGTGATTGATCCAGTCTGCTCTGATTGGTCAGATGTCCCAGCCTGTTGTGATTGGTCTACTCTACTCTGACTGGTCAGAAGGCTCAGTCTGTTGTGATTGATCTACTCTGCTCTGATTGGTCAGATGTCCCAGTCTGTTGTGATTGATCCATTCTACTCTGATTGGTCAGAAGGCTCAGTCTGTTGTGATTGATCTACTCTGCTCTGATTGGTCAGATGTTGCAGTCTGCTGTGATTGGTCTACTCTGCTCTGATTGGTCAGATGTCCCAGTCTGTTGTGATTGATCCACTCTACTCTGATTGGTCAGAAGGCTCAGTCTGTTGTGATTGGTCTACTCTGCTCTGATTGGTCAGATGTTGCAGTCTGCTGTGATTGGTCTACTCTGCTCTGATTGGTCAGATGACCCGGTCTGTTGTGATTGATCTACTCTGCTCTGATTGGTCAGATGTTGCAGTCTGTTGTGATTGGTCTACTTTGCTCTGATTGATCAGATGGCCCAGTTTGTTGTCTGTCTACTGCTCACAGGGCATAACAGAAATGAAAAGCTCATTATCATATCTGTATTTCAACTCCAGAAGCTTCCTCAGCACTTGATACACATCGTATACCTACCGTAACGATGCACAATATAAGCACAAGTCTTTGTCCTTTGGAAGTGCATGCAAAGTTAATTTGCTTCAGGAAAGAAAATAGCATCTTCTTAATATGCCGACAACATGAACTAAACTCTTCCAGGCCTCAGCTACAATTACAGTGTTTGAGGGCGGATCAAATTAGATGTTGCTCATGGGCAGCCAATGAAGACCATAAGCTGGCATTGTGCAAATTTGTTACAAACCTACGTAGGTTCATGCAGAAAAGACTTGAATTACTGACGACTCGCTTCAGGCAGTTTGGTTGTTTTATTTAGGAGACAACAATATTTATCGCTCACTTTCTCACTCACTTTCACTATATTACACATGGCATGCAAGGTAATACCTGAAAAAAAAAAAAAAAAAAAAGATAATAGGGCCACTATAATATAATTGTTCACTAAATAAACTGAGTACATGATAGTAGTACATGATAGATTTTTATTTTGGTTGAACTGTTCCTTTAATTCATTACTATCAAAGAATTTAACCGCATAAACAGGTGCATGAACATAGTATTAATTGAGGTTTACATGATGGTACTGTGAAAATCTAGTCTTTAAAGCATTTTTGGGATGGCTGGGATATAAACTGTTCAGGATGTGTTTGTGACTCACCCAGACAACGGTAGGGCACAACGATGAAGGGGCGGGTCTGACATTTACCCAAGCCCTTCTTACACCAGCCCTGGATGGTGGCTGGAGATGAGGCCTCTTCCACATGGGAAATCTGCAGTCCTGGATACATCTGACATACGGCGAGAACGACAGACACAAACAAACGTGAGGGAAGAGCAGGGGACAGGAGTCAGGATCACAACAGTTGGAAGAGGACAGGGAAATAATGCATTTAGCGTGCAGAAAATAATAAGAACAAGGGGATGAGAAGGAACGAAGCAAAAATAAAAAAATAAAAACACTCCGGATAAGGATCCATGGAAATCATTTGGCCACAATTCATCAATGCACAGTGAAATATTCAATTATTTCTGATCTTGTTTCTGAAAACTTACACTATAAAAGATGATTTTTTCAAACTATTTCAGTCTCCTTTAAAATTTCATTACATTTCTTTATAATTCTTTGAATTTACTGTGAAATTCGCTACTACTTTCTGAGTGGAAATTATATCTACAACAATCTCTTTTCAGAGCAGTTGCACATGGGAGTCCTTTTATATGCCCATATAGCTAAACCACACATGCAATTAATAGTAAGCCAGATAAATACATAATGGATGTATTTTTTTTATTATTATTTTTTTTTTTGATGATGGTTACTGTTCAACGTGAGACCTCTCATTTTACCACAAGAGGGAGTCGCTGAGTCAGGACTGCAGCAGTTTACAGTTAATAAAGAAAAAAAGAAAAACATTGCTGTGTTTGTCCAGCAAGAGGCGTCAGAAAACTCACTGCGTATTATTCACGGATTTCCAAAGCAATTACGCCTCACCTTCAAAACATGTTTGCAGGGGGACTGAGTCATTCTGAATCATCTGTATATTATGATTTATTTTTGATTCAAACTAAAATCATAAACTGAGTCAAATAGGAGGGAGTATAGGAAGAGAGGGAAAAATGGATAGATATGTACGTATATTCAAGAATATACATGTGTAAACTGTCACATTAGGTTTGTTTCACTATATATGTTTTATATATAGATCAGATTTGACAAGACAAGGTCAGTTACACATAAAAAAGGCCTTTTACTTGCAAGTTGTCAGTAAATATTCAACATGTTTCATATATATTCCATATTCTGGTCTCTCTCTCTCTCTCATTATAGAGAGAGTGAGAGAGAGAAATAACGCCCCCCCCCCCACACACACACAACATATATATTAAAATATATACGCATAAAAATGTAAAATATCGGGATGCAAGATTCGATCGTGTCATCTTGTGTAGTGTGTTATAGTGGGTGACAACCTATGTTGCGTCTGCGATGCTTCACGACATCACAACAAAAAGACTAGCAAGTTTAATTTTTTTAACGGCCGTCCACGACGGTTCCGTCACATGTATGAGGTTGACCAATAGGAGCACAGACGCTTTTCCGTACACAACTTTCAAAAATGGCGAAACGAAAGAGAGACGATGGTGCTAACATTAAAACTAAAAGTAAAAATATATAAGAAAACAATATTTTACCTCAAGTTTTGACAATTGACAAAGCAATCCAGGAACGTGTCCATTGTCGGGTTTTCTTTCTTTTTTTTTTTACTTTTTTCTGAACACAGAACAGCCAATACAACACTCACAGCTTCATCCATTGTTTGTTTACGTTCGTTTACGGAAGTCACTCGCTACTAGTTTCGCCTTCTCGATGTCATCATGCGTGCCGTTAAAGACGGCATGCGATGACTGGTCAGTAAGCAACGTGTAGTCTGACGTGTCTTGTCCACGGCACGACAAGATTTTAGGAGTCAAAATCGCATAATCTGACACAGTGACAATCGTAACAGACAAAAAAATCGTGTAATCTGAACTAGGCATAAAATATAGGCTAAAAGATTTGCACCACAGACTGTAAAAAATATGGACAAAGCGTCTGTGACGTCACCCATAGACTCTCTGAAGAACGGGTTTGAGGCTGTTTATGGGGGGTATGGACGGCGCCATCTTGGAAAATCTTGAGAAATACAAAATACAAATGTTCAAAAGATACAGAGGTGGTATGATGTGTTGTGTTAGATCTTGGCCGAGACGTCAATCCATTGGGCGCAGCCCGTTATCAGCTGTCAATCAAAGTTAACCACCCTTATTTGTCATACATTTTATATCTAAATGCGATCTAAACTAACGAGTTAGAAAATAAAAAATCACGCCCCTCACAGTTGTCACGCACTCGGAACCTATCCAAAAATACAATAATGGAACCAACCTGTAAAAGCATGAATTTATGCTGTGAAAACGGACATTTTAACAAGGGATCAATGGAAATTTGCTCCCTTTTGGGACCTCCCTCTAGCGGATTTTAGATGTATTGCAGTCTTTCGCAGTTCTGGGTTAACACAGTCTCATCCCAAAAAGTCATATAACTGACGTCTTGGGGCGTATTTTGACCATACGTCAATATCCGCCTTTTTAGGGCCCCCTTAAACGTCGGTAGATGGCGATCCCGGGCCGTCATACAACTGACGCTTTACCCTTAACGTCAGTTAGGTGACGGGTTAGGTTTAGGGTTAGGTTTCGGCAGGGTCGGCGCTATGGTGGGGCATTCGAGGGCCGTGCCCCCCCTAGCGCTCATTGATGCCCCTCCTACCACAGTTTCTAATACAATGCTAAATCATAAATCAGATGTAGGCTATACAATACCAAATGTCCAGCAATCTATTTGAATAGCACATTGTGTTTAATTTGTTGTCTAATTGGATGTAATGTGTTGGTGCCAAGAATTTTCACGTGAAGAAATACATCCATCCAATTCTATTTTTTATCGCAAGTGTTGTTGGTCCAGTGGCAGAAATTTAGACTGGCATGCATGAGATTGTGGTTTCGAGTCCACACTCGTTTAGATATTTTTTTTCCCCATCATTATAACCGATTATGAATAGAGATTTCGCCGCAACAGATCAAGCGCGCGTCCGTGTGAAGATGTTTATTGTGGCAGCGCGAGACACAAGAGAACACTTTATCAGCACCACAGATCGAGTCAACGAGCACTTTGATCACTTGATTTAAAAAACAACACATTTCAGCGTGCTATATCGCCTCTTATTTAACAAATGAATGCTCTGTAAACCGGATATTTATTTGTATTGGTACATCCGTGCCGCGAGATGTATAAAAGTGCTGGGACAACATCGACCCTGGCAAAAAGTGGTGGGGAAATTCGCAAATAATAATTTTAAATAATAATTATAATAATAAAAGGTGTTTCGTTTTTTTTTTTTTTTTTTTTTTTTTTTTTTGCTTAAACGGCAGTGCCCCCCCGCTGATGACCCAATGCCCCTCCAGTAGATCTGCTCTGGCGCCGACTCTGGGTTTCGGTATGGGATAGAGTTAGGATCCCATAACCTCATCTACCGACGTTTAAGGGGGCCCTAAAAAGACGAATATTGACGTATGGTCAAAAGACGTCCCAAAAAATGTGTTATATGACGTCTTGGGATGAGACCGGGTTGTCTGGGTAGGCTTCTTTTTTCACATTAGAATGTTGCCGCTTGGTTTGCGCACACAATGTGCTGCATTTCAACATCCTTTAGCTGTAAATAGTCGCAGGATAACCATGAGTCCATTACTGCTTAATTATGATATATTGTTCGAATTAATGTGGTGTGGTATTTGCAAATATTCTTTGAAAATAGAGTATTGTCCTGGGTATATGCATGCATCGAATCCATTGGCACTGGGCTGAAACAAGTGAGAGTAATCTTACAGACATATGGGAAGGGATTATTATGTTCTAAACACGTCCACTGGCAGACTGCTAGTCTAAAGCTCATCCAGCCAGGAGAATGACATATTCTTTGGCCTCTTCATTCCATTTTGATGTCTCTCGTGCCAGCTTATGTATATGCCACGACGTGCCAGGCTAGAACGCAGGCACAATAATGCTTTTAAAAGCCATTAGTCAGAATGACTGGTTGACTGGTTCAGCCCAGATTAGAGCACAACGAGGTGATTTTACACTGTGGAGCTGTAGGGACAGTGTGTTGATTCAGACAAGGTTGGACAGACATTGCTGGCACTTTTAGCGCTCAGAGAGACAATACAGCTTTTTTTTTCAGGCTGACATCTCAATTTTCAGAATTGCTGTCATGCAATAATACAGGCTTAGATTATTGTGTGCCATGAAATACAGCAAATCTTATTCGGCGAGACGCATCGCTGTATTTGGCAATCGAGATATATCGAATGACCAGAAGAATGCAGGAAAGCGAGGAATTTTTCAATCTCGTTATCCGTCAAGAATGCAATGGAAGTTGGCATTGTACAACATTGTGAATCCATAGGCCTGCAGGGGAATGCTATTTTGCAATGATATCCTTAAGGGACGTGGAAGCGTGTTCGGAAACGCTGCTGTAAACTGATGAAAAACCGAGGAAAACAACCAGGCATCATTGATCATCCCTAATTCCTCTAGATGAGACAACAGGGAATGAAAACTTGCAATCCTCTTAGGAATCAGAGAATACGGCCACATTAGCCGCACAATATGTTTGAGCCCGAGGCGTACGGAGATCATAAATCTCCACTGCTGATTGATAGTGAAAAATATGGCCATTATCCTGCACACTTAATACGGGGAGAGTTAGAGAGAGATTTGCATCGAGTTCCCTGTGTATGCACATAAACGCCGTTGCACATTTTAGTCTTGTTTTACAATGCTAATATTAGAGCAGGCTGCCCTCGGCGTTCACCTTGAGAATATGCTTGAGTGGAGATTTGTCTGAGGATGCTTGTCCACATAGTAATTAAACCAATCACAGTGCATGCTAATGTGGGTGCGTGCGCTGAGTTTGATGTTATGAGCTTGACTGAAACTAAAGTACATGAGGTCAAAAGAACAGAATAAAAGTAGAGGAGGACGTTATATTACGTCATATATCACAATGATCCACTGGATGGAAAACAGCAATTGAATGGAACAGAACATGAGAACAAAAAAAAACAAAAAAAATGGAATCTTAAAAAAAAATGGAATGGAATCAGAATAAAACAAACTAAATCAAATTGAAAAACAAAACACAAAAGAAGTGGAACAGAATGTTACGATGGAATAGAAAAGACTGCTAAAATAGAATAGAACCGAAAACTGCAAATAAACATTAAACCTCAAAACAAAAAAATAGAATAGAGAATAGAGCACAAAAAAGGCTAGATTCAAATTGAATAGAGCGCAAAACCAAATCCGGTAACACTTTATTTTAATAGTCCACTTCAGACATTCTACTAACTATAAGTAACTTTGCAACTACATGTCAACTATTAGAGTATTAGTAGACTATCTGGTTAAATATCTGCTAACACTTTATTTTGTTGGTCCCCCAACAGATAATCTACTGACTATAAGTAACTTGGCGACTACAAGTCAATTTATTTTCCTAACCCGAACCCTAACACCTAACCTACCAGTCTACTAAGTCTACTAATACTCTAATGAGAGTTAGTTGACATGTAGTTGCAAAGTTACCTAGAGTTAGTAGAATGTCTAAAGTGGACAATCGAAATAAAGTGGAACCCAAAATACTGTTAATAAAGCTAAAAAAGAAGATAATAGAGCACATCAAAACAAATGGAACAGAATGTAACAATGAAATAGAAACTTTTAGACTAAAAGTGAATAGAATAGGGCACAAAACCAAAGGCTGTAAACAAAGCTCAGAACAATAAAACTCAAAACAAATAGAAGAGAATAGAGCAAAAACACAAAACAAAATTGAAAATATTGAAAAGAATTGAATTTAATTGAAGAAAAAAATGGACTAAAATAGAATAGAGCACAAAACAAATGTAGTAAATGAATATCACAACAAAATAAATACAGCACAATACAGCACAAACAAACTAAAAACAAATGTAACAGAATGCAACAATGAAGTAGAACACACTAGACTAAAATAGAATAGAGCAGAGCACACAAATATTGCAAACAAATCTCAAAACTAAATAAACAGGAGAGAAAACGAAACAAAACAAAACCAGAATCAGAATCAGAATCGAATCGCACCTCTTGGCAGTATGACAGGATCTTGCTGGGCTGGGTGAAGCATCCCTGTCGCCCCTGAGGATCTGGTTCCCACTGTCCGCTCTCAGTGTTCATGTGTAGAAGCTGACGGCCACAAAACATGGCAATCTGAGGTTCTGCCACACGAGGACCGCTAACCGGTCCATTCACATCCGTCATGGCCAGAGCCTGAGAAAGAGAGAGAGAGATTTTGAATTTTATGCTGATTCAAAGTCAAAGTGACTCTGAATTCTACAGTAAAACATTGCATTCGCTGTACACATGTATTATGTTCTTGCAGAGGCTTTCTTGCACAAACAGATTTGTAACTAACCAAAGCAAGAAGTCAATTCAAGTGGCAATCTGTTAAAACGCATTGCAATAGAGTAGACAAATTCAAGGGGAAACTAGGATACAACACCTTTATCTTCTAAGATATGCACACTTTATATATTGTATATTGAGAAAGTGAGAGAATTCAAATTGTTCGGAGTGGCCTACATTCCTGATAAAAACAAGTGAAGCCTGGCTGCTTGTTATTACTGCAAACCACGGAGCGATAAGAAATATTTGAGGCCAGCAAAAATTCAGAGCGATAGGAAAGTGGAAAGGACAGGACGAGGAGAGACACGGAGACTGGGAAGAAGAGTGAGTACAGTTGTTATCACTGTCCTGACAGCGAGGAGGAAATATAACATGGAGCCTCATTATTGAATTTCAAATTGAGCCAGCAAGCCAGACCGGCTGATAACCCTAAACGCAGCTTATCCATCTTCCATCAAAACTGTGCGTGCAACTGGAGGACAGGCAATGACAGGACACTGAGCTGCAGATGTGCACAGCAACAACTTTTGTCTCTGTACACTAGTCGCAAATATGTCTGCTTACCCCCCGGGCGGAAATAAAAGTGTTAACGAATTAAAAAGGGCAAAGGGGGAATAATTATCTTTAAAAAGGCTTAAGAAGCACATAATAATTCATCAACACAAACTGCCAATTTCTCTGTGACTATGGTATTTATTCTGCACTTCTTGATGATCTCCGGCTGTGTTAGGAATGGAAAACTGTGTATACTGCCATGTATATGTAAAAACAGCATTTAAATAAATAAATAAATAAATAAATACACACCATAAATAATAAATATATTAAATGTAATAAATAAATAGAATTCATAAATAAAATAATACAAATAAAATAATAAAAAAATAAACACTGTATTAAAAAATATGAATGATCGATAAATAAACAAATATTACATAGTATGCAACCATTAATTTTGAACTGTGTGTTCAATATCAGTGGAGATACAATTGGATTACACATGAAAATAAAGTTACGTAAAAAAAAAAAAAAAAAAAAAAAATCTGGATCATTCGTCTTATTGAAAATTGAAAGTGCATTGCATTTACATATACTATAGGCAAATAGTGTTCAGGTGTTCCATGGATTAAAAAACACACAGTGTATACATTGCGTGAAATAGTAAGAGAGTGTGTTATTGTTATTGTGTGTTATCCGTTCGGTTCTCGCCCTTCTCTCTCACATCACTCAGTTTCTAGTTCATTCACATCCTCCCTTTCTCTTTGGCAAAGGATGTAGGTATTGATCTGAAATCTGTTCAGCACTCCTGGAGGAAGGGCCCCGGGGACAGTCACGCATGCAGAGCAAACAGTAACCCCGTGCTAGAGTCAGATGTTAATACAAGCTCATTGACCACTTGGTCATTTGAGTACAGCAACACAGAGCAGGAAACAAAGGATCATCAGGCGAGAAGAGAAAGTCTAATCAGGGGAGAGGCTTCATTTCATCTCGGTACCTATCTACCCATTTCACTGTTTAAAGCTTAGTAGCGCTACAGACTAATCGCTTCTCAGCAACGAGGAACAAATGAGTGTTTGTTTCTGTGTTTGTATATTACATGCATGCCCTTTGTCTTCTGTAGGGACAAGCCACACATAATATATATATATATATATATATATATATATATATATATATATATATATATATATACTGTAAAAAATATTGTTAGTTTAACTTAAAAAAGTAAGTAACCTGGTTGCCTTAAAATTTTAAGTTCATTGAAATTGAAAAAGTGAGTTAATACAATGAAGGAGAATGATTTAATCATCAGAAACTCAAAATTATATGTTATCTGAACTAAATAAATTATTTAAGTTGATTTGACAAAAGAAAAATGTTGCGATTACTAATTAAGAAAATATTTTTTTACAGTGTATATATAGATGTTGCAGATATTGTAATCAAAAGACTGTTGTTACTTAACTCACTTTAATAATCCCAAAGCAAATCAAATCAGATATATGGCTGAGGTCATATTTAATTTAGAAAGTGAAGAACTGTATGGTGACCATATAAATGTTACTTAAAAAATGGCATGGAAAAAAGAACAACATAACAATAATAGTGTTTTTAAATCCTTCATAATTTATAGAACATATTATAAAATAAACAACAAAAAACAAAGATTTTGAGACCACAAAATACTGGCGACGACTGATATTGCTGCTTTTCAGAAGAGAGAATTACTGCGCCTTTCAAAAGCGTCATTAATCTGGGGTTTGCCTGCGCTGGAGTGATTTATCCTGGATTAAGTCTATAAATTACAGCCAAATTTATACCAGGGTACAGACACTGAATTGAAGAGAGAGGCAGATTGTTAAAAAGTGTCAGACAGAGCACTAGCTTTGCATATCCTGACACACAACCACAATTGGATATCAAAATCATCTAAAAAGTCAAGAAAAATTCAACAGAATTTTTATAGCGGTATGTTATTCCCCATTAATAGATAGATAACACAGGCTCATCCGGGTTACTGAAGTCAACAGCGCTATACGTTTGCTAGGAACGTTTTTTTCTTTGTGGAAATTTTGCGTTTGGTGAGCTAAAAAAATATTTCAACTCAAATCAGTCAAATCAATATTTCGTGTACAGTTGTTTAAAGGGGTGATGAACTGAGAAATCAAATTTTCCTTGAGCTTTTGATATCTAAGAGGTCATCGTATTATATGAATATCCTGTAAGTTTCAGAAATGAAAACGTCCTTGTTAGTCCAATAAAAGCTTTTATTGACACCAGGCTCAGCAAACGACTCGTTTTTCAAAGTGGGGAACTATGGCGTCAAAGAGGATAAAACACCACCACCCCAGCAGAAGATCAACGCCTACTTCAACACGGCCGGTTTAGCCCCGCTCACCGATTCGCGCATTACACGCATATCTAAAAACATAGATGCCTACCTCGTGATGACAAACCGGGTTGAGAGTGAAACTCATTATAATATGCAAAACTGTGATCCACTCACAGCAGTGGGCGTTTACTTCCAAGTCTTCAATTCGAGACGTCCATAAAAACCGAGCGTTTTTGAGCTGGGCTCAAAACTAGGTTAGAAAATAGCCTATTACTTATTCATTTTGATGTTTTTGAATGCAAAAACCATAAGTTGACCTCAGACAACAATATTTAAAAAAAAATTAAAAAGCCAGTTCATGACCCCTTTAACTATGTCATCCAGTATCGTGGACTTGATCTCTCTCGTTTCATACTGCCATTTTGTTCTGCCATTTTGATTGTTTTGTACACTGTAATGGATTAGAAGATAACAAACGGGTATGATTTAAAATCTTAAAATTTAAAATTGATTTTGTGATCAATATTTTTTTATTTTAAGTTAACATACCAGATACAAATCAAGGCTCACTGAACTATATACAAACAGATGCCATGAAAACTCTCCACATATAAGAATATATGAAGAGTTCAGATGCAAAAGCCTCTAAATGCCATTTGAAATTTTTTTCTTTAATGATGATTTTTTGTCAAACTTGTATATTTAAGTTCAGTAATTTCACTTAAATAACAATTAATAGGTAATTATCATTGCCATTTAAGTGAAATCACTGAACTTAAATATACAAGCTTGATAAAAATGATCATTCTAGAAGAAAATTTCCAATGGCACTTAGAGGCTTGCATCTGAACTCTTCATATATATATATATATATAATAACAATAATGATATATATTTATAAGAAATTACAGAGAGAGGGAGATGTAGGATGTTAAAATCTTAGTTCTTCTAACAGAATGTTTGCAATTTTTGTCCAGCTCTGAATAGTGTTGTCACTTGCGCCATTGACCTTGGCAGTGGTGCCTTCCAACAATACAAAGTCTCTGAAATATGATAACCATGTGAAAGAAGTTGGTTCGGCTCTATCCATACCTTTAATATAGTCTTTTTAGCAGCCGTACTAGCTGACAGTAAGGCCCTCAATCTCAATCTTAATCTCAAATCAATATTTCTTATCCCCATAATTAAATATTTGGTGAAAAGCTGTGTAATAACTGGTATGACTGCACTGTATGACTGTCTAGTTTGTTTTTTTAATACACCGTCTGGTGCACCTGGACATATCTTCAGTGATGTAACCTAAGATCACGGGGGGTTTCGGGTCTTTCAACAATCAGACCCCCTCCCCTAGGCGACCCAGCTGGGGTGATCAAGTCCCAGCTTATGTCCAGGTAGCGCTACTGCCCTACACGCCATGCCTCTCCTCTCCTGATCCACAGCCACCTTGATGCTGCTTCTGCAGCGTCCGTGGCCAACTTGATGGCCCTTCGCTGACTCGCCCCTGTGATGCCAAGCATCTTGTAGGCCCTGCAAAGGGAATGGCCCACAAACCCTCGACATCCCACTTCAACTGGTTGGCATATTGTCCGCCACCCATTGCTCCGGCACTCCTCTACAAGCTGGGAGTACTTTGCCCTCTTTCTTTCATTGGCCTCCTCCATACGGTCCTCCCAAGGCACTGTCAACTCCAATAGAATTAACTGCTTGGAGGCCTCCGAGATGAGCATAATGTCAGGCCTTAATGTTGTTATGGCAACTGCTTCAGGGATCTTCAGCTGCTTACCCAGATCAACTGCCAGCTCCCAGTCACGCGCAGTTGGCAACAGGCCAGAGGAGGTGCCCCGGGCAGCTGGTATTAACTTCTCCCCAGCTTTAACAAAGGCTGTGGTCTTCACTGGGCGAATGCTCTTGCTGTGGCTGATTCCACTGCAGATAGAATCCGCTATTGCTTTTAGGACCTGGTCATGCCGCCAGCGGTAACGCCCTTCGCCCAGGGCTTTCGGACAGCAGCTCAGGATGTGTTCCAACGTTC